TTCAACCTGATTATTTACTTACTTCTTATGTTTCATAAACAGTCTCTCTCTTAGTAGGCATTTGTTTCTTCCAAATTACGTAGTTGAACTCAGTACGACAATTAATCAAACTCAAACAATTATTATATTTATATATGTGCGATTGCACAGCTTGAAAATCAGCTCATCGCAAAAGATTTCTTCATTGAATAAATCGTCTTCCAAATTAATGGGTAAATTTAAATTAATATCTAGTGAAAATTTACATCAGTCCTTAATTCTGTTTGTATTTTTAGTAACTAACGTAAGTTGTTGGTTTATATTTTCTGGTTAGTAATTCTTATGATCCATAATGTAGCATTTTAATGCAACAAGCTAACTAGATTAAGGTGGAAACTTTTAAAATATAACGAAGAGAATAACTAACAAAACAAATGACTTGAATATATTTAGAAAATGAGTCACCTAGTATTTAAAGCGGCTTACTTTCTATCAGTTAACTGGTATTTTGAATTAAGTTTAGTTTTTTATGGGCTGTTTTTTCTAGGCAGCTTGGTTGTCATTAGTTGTGTCAAATGAACTCCAGAATACTTGTAGTTGACTAACAAAATTACCGTAAAATTTGACTTACTATCTTCTCACAAGATTTTTAAGTGCCATATTGACTACTACTAGACAGTTATGATCAAATAAATATGGAATCTTTTGTGAGAAATCCTGTACATTTTTGAACAAACTACTTGATTTTATTAAATTTCTCAAGATCTACACCTGTCTTGTACTATACCTGTTTAAGATAGTGAAGTTAACAAATATAGAACAATGAATCAGGTGTCATTTATTGATAAGAAACACTCATTAAAATGTCAACCAACATAAATGGACTAATATGGATAGGTTGCTATCTTTTTGTTATTAAAGCAGAAACTATGCTCATTCCAGGGCTCAGGCTACATGCCTTTCATGTTGGGCATTCAAAGAAAAACGTGCTTGGTTCAAGTCACTAGATGAATAACAACACGGGTACAGCTACATCCACATGGTAGTTCTTAAATAAGATGAAGGGCATGCCCTCAATTTCAGCGGTGGCCGCAACCTAATTTCGTTAAAAATACCGGGTCTAGATATTTGTTTTGCAAAACTAGGTAAGTTACTTAAGCTATTGTCTATCTTCACTGTAATAAAGCAATAAAAACTGCCACCTGTTTGTTAATCTTAAACGTAATAGCCGGTTACTGATGTTCTGCTTAATAAAAAAAATGAATCAATCTGAATGTATTATTTCAGGATGTATAAAATACTAACACGACTTAAAGGACTAGATTTACAACAAGCATATCGTTTATGCATTAAAATAGAATTTGTGCACACAAACATTATAAGTAGACACATTAAAAGTGTGCGAAATTTATTGTTTTATGCCTGTAAAACAGAATTGATAAATAATTGTATATAATATCTATAGTTTTACTGAATGAATCATTTTAAATAGTTGATAGTGAACAATAGAAAATCTCTAATCTTAGTTTGATACTGGTTGGTAATCGTCAGGTACTTAAGAAATTTTTGAGGGAACTGATGTTCTCTGTGTAATGCAAGTTCAATTGTACAAATGGAGAGGAAACCTTGAAGCACTAGAGGAAATGAATGACATTTGGTGAAACTTTCATGTTTATATTAATTAATATTATAGTGGTATTCAGTTTTCCATCTGTTTGTAACCTAGTACATATTTCCTAAAGACATCTGATTATATATATGTATATATATCATTGTATCATTTAGTGTATCTAAATTCAATAGCTGCTTACAAGACTAAATTTGATAACTGATTGTATGAAATGAAACTGATAGATCAAGACAGAAATTAATTCAAATAAAAACAACGACTTGAACTATAACGAAACATTTATTTATTTATCTAATATCCACAAGTGGCTAGAACACTCTGCTATATACGTATGTACTTTTGAAGGACCCAGAGCAGAAACACAATTAGAAGTATTCATGCAAAGCTGGAAGTGTGACCAAAGTGCCTAGGGGACAATAACTTAAAGATATTCACAAACATTCATTTGGTGAGTAGCCCATTGTCTTTTAGTTTCACTGTTTAAAAACGTTACTAACAAAGGTAGAAATTTGTGGGTCATGGTGAGGTGTTCAGTTGTATGGGCTGACTTATTCTAATCTCCTATTTTTTTTGTAAGGAATCTGTAAATAATAGTAATCTGGGCAAAACAATTTACAACCAACGTAAGTCTGTATATATAACAGTATTTATCAGACATAAGATACAGGCTTGCTGACTTTAGTCTGGCCCTTCTCCAGAATACATACCCAATATGCTAATACCTAAAGAAATAAGCAGTCCAGCAAGAACAGCTTGATATGGGGTGGGAAATTGAATCAATGTACATATGTTCTACAATTCACACTATTTACAGCTGGTTGTCTATTGGGATGTAGAAATCAATTGCACTGCGTTGTAAAAAACAGATTGAGAACATTGAAGTTTGACCTCGTGCACCGAATACACGTGTATACAGCCAAATCAACAAAAGCAAAAGTGATGAGACACAAAAATTGTAACATCCTTGTAGCCAAGTCAGTTGTAAATACATTAGGATGCTATACAAATATGTACCAGTCTAACACATTATTTTTGGTAGAGGAAACAAATAAGATGTAAGGCGCAAGTTTTGAAATAATAATTTCAGTGCAAACGGAAAATCACACACAAAAGGTATAACTTACAATAAATAAAAATTTCAAAAAGTCAAAGCTAAAAAATGATATTTAAACTCGATGTCTTAAAAAAGATGGGATTTTGCTGTACTGCCAGCGACTTTTGGCAACATCACCCATGATTTTCAGGTATGTAAAGTTGTTTACCTCCACACAGTCTTAATAGTAAATAACTAAGAACCAGTGTAACTATTCCTCTAAGTGTGTTAATTATTATTTCAATAACCAGACCCAAGACCGGATCAATAATCAGTCTGTTTTTCTTTCTACTTTTATCTTTTATCTAATTTTCGGCCTATTGTTCAGTGAGTTCAAACGGATGTCTACCTTAATCTGCCAGTTTCATACTTTGTTGTACTATTACTTTACTATATTATTTTGCTAATAGCAGTTACGTGGTCACGCCAGTTTACGCTTTTCATAAAGAATACTGATAGCTTTAAGCTGAAGGAAAAATCCAGACATAAAAGTGAGGGTTCAAATGAAACGAGCGAAAACACAGAATGAAAAACGCTCCACGTTTAATTTCGATATTTAGGTAAAATAATAATAAATTCAAGTAAATCATTGAGATCCGTTGAAAACCATAAAATCCAATATATTCAGCTATCGACTGAGATTTTCTTGTGAACCCTCATTCTCTATTGTAAGCACTCAGACAGTCAATAATCTTAGGGGCAGATGCCTTACTTTAGGTTCCTCTGCACCGACTCCTGTGGCAGTTAGTATTTTGTATGTGAGCTAGTTGTAGCCTGATATAAGAAATGATGTCCCGTAGTCAATTAAATTTTGGAAGTGTACTAATTAAATCACAGCCTCTAGCTAAATTCTTGTGCATGACTTCACCGTTACTGGTAGTATTAATCTAGTAGAAGAAAGAATATATCTTAAAAGTACATCCTCCAAATCTCAGGCTCAACCATTGTCCCAATCTATCTTAACATTAGGCTAATAAAATTTAAAACCATAACCTTGAAATAAGTTATTCAAGTGCGGTTTTAAAAAGTACTCTTTTATAGCATCAAGTCTGCTTTATATTGCATATTTAAGTTTTATTCTTTTTGAGCTATAATTATGATTACTTTTAATTGATACGAAATCTACTTAGACTATGATAACTGGAACGTTTACTGAACGTACTTGTGCTGTCATACATTATTTGGCCACGGTATATATATATTTTACCCGTTAGTTATTTGAATCTTCTCGTTGTTGGTATTAAGGAATACAGGTGACCTACATCTTCTGCCATTTGATCATTCTGAGTGAATATAATAGATATTTTCATGTGGTCACAACCTTTTATTAAAGTGAGTCCATGACAAGCAGTGGAATCCAACAGGTGCGTTTAATTGAGTGAGAGTATTAGCTATCAAAACAAATTATTTCAAAAATTAATTAACATTTAGTAAGAGGTAGGTTTTGATCACTCTTGAATCAAATAACTTAATTTAGTAGAAATCATCAGAGTAAGACAAAATCAGTGTGTATGGCCTGATCAAACACTTCTTTATTCGTATTAAAGCCCCTTAAAAGTCAATTTAGCTTGTATTTTTTACTTATATAAATGTTTTAAAGCAGCTAGTTTATGAAAATGTAGTAGAATAGTTTAAAAATTTGGAACGATTTGTTCGCTGAATGATTAGCGAATTTCACCAGCAGACCAAAACGAATAATATCACTGAACTCAACGACCAGTAACAACGAATGCTTTTTGTGTATTTAGATGAAGGATAGATCAGTTTGTGAAGATGGTTGACATAGACATGTTTCAGGTTTTGATACAAACCACTATAACTGGTTCAAACTAAACAGGTTACCAACTTAAAATTAAAAATCATTAACACAAAGTTATAAAACAATGAAGGCTGACTTTGTGAAATATTCTACTCGGAGCTATTTTAGACCGACATCCACCCGATAAATCTCACAAAGCATACTTTTGCGAGGTACATGTGGGACTTACTTGACCGTTCATTCTTCGAAATACGGCAAAAGATTGTGTTAGTCAACAAAAACACCATTAAAAGTGTGTACTGCGTGTAACAACTCTTAAATTATCAATTTGTTTTAAAATAAACTTATAAATTTAAACACAAAGTCGTATAGAGTCGTAACATGACAAGTGATTTATAGCCTACATTTTAAAAGCACTCGGTTGTACAAGAGTTCATTTACTCTGAAATATGATTATCTAAACTGTCAAGATTTAAATGAATTAAAAAAGGAGGTGTAAGCAAATTTGACGACATAAATAAGGTTCAAAAGCGACTTACAATCAGTGTAACAGGCCCTCGAATTTTGTAAATGAGGCCACATAGATGAATAACGAAGAAAAATAGTGATATGAGTGCCCCAACTAGTGCAAAGAATGCTAAAAGTCCACCAGTCACAGTAATTCGATAGTGATCAGCAACAATTATTGATACTATGAGACTAACACCAATTGAAAACTCTAGAATCTTGAACACTGCCCTTAGTTCTCTAGCGTATTCAGCATTAAGTTGCATTACTTGATTTATTACTCCTTTCCTACGATATCACCTTCTAACATTCAAAAATTTGAATGAAAAAGAATAAAAACGACATCCAATTCTCAATGTCTTTTAAACGGTTCAAATGGTTGAAATGGTTGTGGACGGAATAGAAGAAGCTTTCGCTTAACAGGCTTCCGTGTCTAGTAGCAAAGGGTTACCAAATCCTCCAGGCAGGAACCTAGGTATGTTAACAATAAAAGAGGAAAAGAAATTGGTAAATCACAGTGTGATGCTGTCCTTGGTCCTTAAGAGTAGGTCAAGTTGCCTCTTGAAGGACTCCTGAGAAGTCGCTTGGACTAGCTCGGCCGGCAGCAAATTCCAGCTTTTGACAACTCTTAAGGAGTAGAAGTTATGTCTACATTCCGTTTTGCTATGTTGTGTCTCCAGTTTCTGGGTGTTACTCCTTAGGTTATTATTCGAACTAAGCTTAAGTAGGTTTTTAAGAGGATGTCCAGAAGTGTTAAGAATGCTATAAGCCATCAGAAGATCACCTATAAGACGCCTATACTCTAATGGGTAAAGGTCTAGCGCTCTTCGTAAGGTTTAGATTTGAGTCCTCGAACTGATTTCGTGGCTCGCCGTTGGATACGCTCCAAAGTGACCTTGTCCTTTTGGAGTGAGGGAGGAGTACTATGTTTCCGTACTCTAAATGGGGACAGATGAAACTATTGAAGATTGTATGGAAAGTTCGTCCGTTAAACTGTCCAAAATTGCGCTTCAACGTTACCAGTGCAAGGTTCTCTCGGAAGGCATTTTTGTCACAGTTAGCGTCAGACCTTAAATCATGGGGCACCAGGACTCCTAAATCTTTTTCGACTTGGGATACTACTAGAGAGGAGTTTCCTAAGTTGTAACTGTAGTTTGTGACATGTCGCAGATGGACTACTTTACACTTTGAAGTGTTAAACGTAAGTTGAATATTCTAGTTGCTGATATCAAATTGAAGGCGATTGTGTGGTCTTTTTAAGTGATATGAATAAATGTAATTATGTAAAGTAAACCGAGGTACGTAGGTAATTTTCTAATACAGTTAAGTGAGGCGTCGAGATAACTTCGAAATGCTTTAGGCGACAATGCTGTGTCACGTTTGGTCATTTTCACGATTGTTTTTATAGGTAGGCTTTTCGTAATGAATCATCACATTGAATAGATGCCGATTAGCTGTGTTTTATTCGATGATATTGGACGTGAATTTTCAACACTGTTTGTAATATGATACGGATCAACAAAAACATTATGATCCATCCATCCGTTTTATACTTATTATTCACCCTTTAAACTTATAAGCGTTGACGATCAGTTCCCACCGACGTCAATAAAAAGCGACAAAAACATAATTTCGCAACAAACTACGTATATATTCTGAGCCTGATGAGGAACGAAATAAATAAAATGTGAGAGTTTATCATATATCACCGTTTTGTATAACCATTAACTTGGGCAGATAATAAAAGATACTAACTACTCTGAACTCAGCCTGACTAGGAGTAAATCCCTAAGGAAATATAATCGGTTGTACACCACATTTTTATCACTTTTTCACAAATGTACTTAAAGTGCTAGATTGCTAGTTTTTTCGATGTGCCTTGGTTGTAGTCTGGAGTGACCGCAGCATCGCTTAAGACCGCAGATAAAATATAGCGTAATGGGTTTCAGTTATATTACGTTAAAAATTATTTTCTCACTGCCCAATACAGCCAATAATCAGAAGTGTACAATAACGAGGAAATAGTCCCCTTTGGTGCTAAATAAATTTATAAAGTAAGTAGTTGTGTGTGTCTTCGACATTAATCAAGAGCTCAGCGCTTTTACTGGGCACACGTAGCTGAAGGCAGTTGGTCGCGCATCCGCATCAGATCACGAGTGAGTATGCCATTCTGCACATACCTTCCAACTGCTGGCCAACTTAAATCAAATGCTTGTTAATAGATCGACGACTTATCAAGTATATCTTCAAACTCATACGTCCCTGACTTCTGATTTGACTAGGTAGGTATTTTTTGATTATGAAGATGTGATAGACAAAAGCATTGCCAAACCTCGAATATCTATAGAGTCTTTACTGTTTCTGAGATCTCTTTAAGCATTTGCGATTGCACTGCCGTCTTGCGTTCTGTCCTGGTTATTTCACGGCTTTATTTATTCCATTGTCCGGAATTTTTACTGGTAATGCAAAGTTGATAACAATGAAGTATCATTTTTATCAATTGGCTGTTTTCTATTGAGCTCAATCTTTCATACTTTTGGTAATCAAAATCCGAACTATTATCGTGAGTGATGTCTTCGATTTGTCAAATTATTTTCGGACTACTGCAGTGTTATTTGTGGTTTGCGCTCAAAAACTTTAAAACCAATCCAGGCTCACTGTTGAACTAGTGCTTGCAAATACTGAAAATGGTTCTACTATTGTACGAGTTTCCTGTTTATTTTAATAATTATTAATAACCAACTTTTCTCATCGTGATCGCACATGTTTTATAAAGAAGGCAGTGAAGGCACTCATAAGGTATAGTAATACGTTTTAAATCTTAATGGTTTTACAATGTTGAATCTTTTCTTAACTCAAGTTCAACATGTAAGATTAAACGAGAATTATACAACTGCCAGAGACACCATGGTAACAATTAGACATCTAAGCACGTACAAGAAAGAAGTTGGTGGTAAACTGGATTTTCCATCAGGTTGATCAAATACAGGGCTGTAACTTTCGGGACGTTCTTAATAAATTTGGCACAAAACTCCTAGTGTCAGTTGACGTCTTGAGATTTCATCTACGGAAATAGTTGCATGTTGTCAAGTAAGTATTCTACTTAAATCTAGTTGTAAGATCCAATTTGAATGTTTTGTTTGTGAAAATCCCTCCATGTATACACTAGAAGTTTGTTCCTAATGATTACCTTAGTTGTACATTTTGTTAGTCTTTTTTATTTCATTTGAGTTAGTAGTATTTGTATTTTATGTTATGACTTTAAGTTGGGTCGACTTTTACCCTGTGCTAATTGTTGTGTCCTTGACTGGAAAAATTAGAGAGCAGCCTACTTATCGATCGATTACAGTGACACGTAAACACGTACGGACGGTCTAGAGTCTCGATTGGTCTCGGTTCCCTGTCTAGCCCAGTCAGTTGAATCCAGAACACAAGTCACAAACACTGAGATATGAATCATTATATTTCAAACATACTTTGTTTATATACCAATCAAGCATACCACATCGTACCATAAAATAGAAAACAACATTTTGTACAATATTCAACAAGTGAACAGATACCGACCAATAGGAAATGTCCATTTAAAGTCCAAGGACACCATTGGACTTAACATTATAATTATTGGTCTATTCCTCCGCATCCACAACATTTTATTATAGTTTTTATTCTTCTTACGCCTTCAGTAAGTTTCCGTGTTTCTTCTTGAAATCCATTTGCTTTGTTTTATCTGATACTTATTATTATTTATTTATTTTAACACATAGATATTGTTACAAGGAGGCATCAAATATATATGCGCCACACAAATCTCATTCGATATGTGTGAGGGCTGTGATACCGCCCGGATGCCCAAACCGAAGCAGGTAGTTTTCTTAGGGGGTCACATCCGGAGCCTTCGACCTAAAGGTCTAATCCACAAGGCAGTGGAGCGAGGTAAGGAGATGCAGTCCCATGGTAGCCGGTGACCAACGATTGGTTCATACGCCATTTGTTCCCGCAGGATACTGGAGCCCATGTGCACCATTGGATTGGAATCCGGTTAAAGCGCCGGACATTCGCTTTTCGTCCTCTCATTTTCGTAAACAACACCCCCACCACGAAAAGGCAGTGAGTAGGACTTCCCTAGCAGCCATATCGGTTTGTTCCTCTTTTTTATTGTATTGCTTGTATTGACTGGAATTGTGCATTTTTTTATTAGGAATTGAAGCACTCTTCTGGAATCGGGAGCACTCTGTGTTTTGTGGCCAAAACGTTGCTTCAGTCGGATATCTTCATTGATGTTCATAATATAGCGAAGAAACAGTATGAAGGACATTTTCATTTGTTTTTCTCTGTATTTGCATCAGAAGAACGATTATTTATTTAATCACAGTCAAGAACATTCCGAAACCTAGTTTAACAAGGAGAATTTAAGTAGAAAAATCAAATGGACTTCTGCAGGAAGTCGCGTTCGTGGGATTATAATTATTTTTTCCGAAACGGTATTCAGTACTTGAGCACCTTTTCTTCTATTTGGTGATCAGGTGAAGCCTACTAAAGCTGCTGTATTTTCAAATTTCATTTCAGACATCCATGAACGTCTTTCCTGAATAAACCAACGTAGCGCATCTTAACTTGGTGGATGAAAGAAGCGAATAAGATACAGCTCAGCCTGAAGAAAGGAGAATTAAAAATATGCTCCAACATACCACCTTCAACAAACGAGGCTTAAAGTACCCACCATTCATGTGTTTTTCTTACAGATGTCATTCATTGAAAAATGACTGATCCACAAATTTTATGATATTCAGGCTAACTTCAGAATGTATTGTCGATGAAGAGGTGTCGATACATTTATATTTTCGTTATGCTAACATTACTATTGATAGAAGAAACCTGACCAGTGGTGAATAGATCTTTATTCAGCTCGTGGGATAGTTACAGTGGAGCGTTACCTATTCAAACTCACAAAGCTTTTCAACATCTAATATAAGGTGATAGGAAATATAATGTCTATACAAAGTAAGGAAGTGAATAAATACTGTAGCTCTATTGTTTTGACATATTTTTGGTTTTTTTGAGGTAAACTCTTATATAATTAACCCAAGCTGTAACAGTAATATTATCAACTGACTGAACGTGTCAAATTTTATCACACTCGAAACATTTGGCATTATGCATTGCACGCGGATAACGTGAGTGAAACTTGCCACTGAACAAACGTTTACCGAACTTGTGCTCATCTTCGTGATCTGTTTCGCAACTCCTCAGTTAACTGCTATCTGATAAATTTCAGTAAACACTCGATTGGGATAACGTAATAACGCAGTGGAGTTCTTGATAACCTGACGAATCATTTTACGAAGTTGCCCTCTTTTACCGCACTAGAAATTTGTGCATTTTACA